CACTACCTTCACACATGCAGACACACAAGAACATACAGATACACACAGACTACATATAGATACACTGACACACACAGATACAAACACTGACATACATGCAGATACAAAGGTACACACACTGACTACTTATAGATACACCGACACACACACTGACACACAGACACACAACCTGACACACATGCAGATATACAGATACAAACACTGACGCATACAGATACACACACAAATACAAATGGACAACATACAGATACAGAGACACATTCTGACAGACGTACTGACAGACTAACACACAGACAAACATACTGAAACACACATACACAAAGACATACTGAACCACACAGAAACTGATGGACTCACACACACAGACATACAGATACACTGACAGACATACTGGCACATATACACACAGACAGACGGACATACTGAAACACACATACACACAGACATTGACAGACATATTGACAAACACAGACATACAGAACCACACTGACAGACTCACACATAGACATACTGACAGACACACACACACATTCTGGCACACACACACAGACAGACTGAAACACACATAGACACAGACACTGGCAGATATACACACATACAGACATTTTGAAACTCACAGACAGCCATACTGAACCACACAGACATTCTGACACACTCACAGACACAGACATTCTGGCACACACATACACACTGAACCACACAGACACTGACAGACTCACACACAACGAATACAGACAGATACACTGACAGACTTGCACTCATGCAAAATTTGATAACCACCCTCCAGTTTCTTACCTTTTTCTGGAGGGTGGCTTCCCTGGGGTTCAGTGGGGTGGCTGGGAGTTAAGCTCTCCTGGCCTGGCCCCCTCCGGAACAGCTCCTTCCTCCCGCGCGGCTCTTGTTTCTGTGGGAGGAAGTGACGCGCGGCTGTCACTTCCTCCCAGTGCTGCCGAAAAGCAAGGGCCGGTCGCGCTGTTAAAGCGCCACAGCGCCCGACCGGGCCCCTGCTGACACAGGCCCACCGGGTGGCCCTAAGTGCATGGGCCACCCAATGGGCCCCCATAGTTTGCGTGCAGAGGGGAAAAGGGGCAGCTGTCTTGGGCCCCCCAGCAGGGACAGGGCCCAGGGCAGCTGCCCCATTTTCCCCGCGTTAAAGACGGCCCTGGACAAATGGAGGAATATTGAGTCTTCATGGATAGGAAGATTAAATATGATCAAGGCATTCCTGATACCTAAACTTGTTTACTATCTTAGGGCGATTCCTTATAGAGTAGGGAAAGGTATACTTAACCACTTTCAAAATTTGATTTCTAAATATATTTGGGCAAATAAACCACCTAAGATAGCATTTGATACTCTCCGAAGGAGTTATCAGAAGGGAGGAATAGCATTTCCAGATGTTGATAAAATCCATGAAGCATGTATGGCGACTCACCTTTTACAGTGGCTAGACAGGGACCAGGGAAATCAATCATGGTTCACTCTAGAACAGGAGGATAGCCCCAGATATAAATTGTCTGTTCTCTTTTGCATGGGTATTCTGAAACTAGGTGAATTGGACACCAAACATTTTTCCAATAGAATAGTGATCGATATGGTTAATACTTCAAAATTCTTAAAAAATTGAAATTGGAAGACAAATTACTATATGGGGTTCCATTAGTGGTCCTACAAGACGTAATGGAGAATATAAATGTTCAACCCTGGATACATCTAGGTATATTGAAGATCTCCGATTTGTGGGATGGATCTAAACCCATCCCATTTACACAAATGCAAGTAAAATATAATCTTCCCCCCCAGAGACCTTTTTCAATATCTAAGGATTACAAATGTTCTATTATCTAGAACTATACTCAAGGACCATAATGTTAATCCTCTTATAGTACTGTGGCGAAACCGGCCTCGCCACGTGTCCTTGGAGGGGGCTGCTTGCCCGCCTCTTGCCTTTGGACTGTGGACCAGACTTTATGTGAATGTGTTAACCCAGATAGCTATGCCATGGAGCCCATTCGTGTAGTTAAAGACTTCGGCTCCATGGCAATTGAACTATGTGAATAGGATCTGAGCGCTATTCGGTAGTTTTGTGCGCTCAGATCCCAGCTATCTGGGGATATGTGAAATGTCTGTGTCTTATGTGTAAAAGGTGACTTTAAAATACATAAAGTGTTTTGTGTCTTTTTGCAACCATGTGCTTAATGGAGTCTTGTGTCTGTCCTGGGAGATAATTGAATTACTCTCAATTATCTCCAGGATAGAAGACTCTGAAACTGTTTTGGGCCGGAAAGCCATGCTTCATTTAGTCACAAAGGACTTTCCCTTAACTTTTGAACCCCTGGTCTGATTCGTGCCATTTTTTAATATGTTGTTCCCTGAATGGATTGATTATGAAAATGTATGTTTTATGTTTGTGACATGTATATTTTAGAAGTTATAAATATTGTGTAAAAACTGTATTCCTCTGCCAGTGATAATGAGATTACCCATTGTGTTCAGTAATCATATCACCTGCAGAGGGGAGGATTTTGTGTGGGAGTGTCTGGGTGTATTGTACGGATTGATTGGTTGTTTTGTAACGCCCTGTGGGCTGTACTATGTTTGTAGATTGGGAATAAAAGAGACTGTATGTGACAGTACAGGGAGTTCCTGTTTAACCCTCAAAGTGAAGTGTCGTCTCATAATTGGGGGAAGGATTTATTGTATGCTGTTCCAGTTTGACTGCTAGGAGGGTAAACCTATTCGTATGGTTTCCTATTCAACTGTCTACAGCATTCATATGCTTGGGAGAATTTGTTTCTCCGTTTCGGTGATTGTGGTGTCTGCCAGAGTGCTTGGAGTCCTCAAGAAGCGCTAGGAGCATCCTTCAACGGAGGTACCCAGTCGGGGTGCCAGGCGATCCGTTACAAGTACTATATAAAAAGAAGGGAGGGGAAGGGGTGGAGCCAGCGCCCGAGCAAGCAAGTCGCAGCACACCGAAGCTCCGAGAACGTGGCCCGCTAAAACCCACTTCCCAGCGATAAAACAAACTCTGGGACCCGAAGACTAGCTCCCCGGAATCCCCTGCACCATGGGGAAAAAGACAAAGAAAAGCCGAGCTGACCCCAGCTTTCGATCTAAAGATATAGGCACTTTTATGCGCCCGGCACAGCGGCATGAGTCTGCCAAGATGGCGCCAAGCGAGGCCTACGCCACACAATCATCAGACGAAGATAGCCTACCTGAATCCGTTCATGCTCCCAGCAGGGCACAAACCAAATCCCAACAGCCCCACGAGCTAGGGAATGCGGCACCTGCCACAAAAGCCAACATAAAGGCGCTGATGCTAAATATCAAAGAGATGTTTGATGCGGACATGGCGCAAGTCCGAGGTGAGATCTCTATGCTCTCTGGCCGCGTGGTGACAATTGAAGAGTCTGTCAAGAGCACCAGGGTGGCGCAAACAGCTACGGACGCTACATTGGGATCATTGCAAAAACAATGTGCAACACTGACAGCCCAACTGGCCGGCATGGAGGACAAGGCTAAGGCTAGAAACCTGCGGATCAGGGGTGTACCCGAATTGGTCACCAACATTGAACTACCACATTATTGCAGGAGGCTCATAGCCACATTATTGGTCCCTAAGCAGGCTAAGCAAGTAGGGATTGACTCCTGCTTTTGTCTCCCCAAAGCGACCATGGCACCACAGGAAGCACCACGGGATGTGCTAATTAAATTTGTTCGGGACTCAGATCGATGGGCCCTGATGGGGGCTGCAAAAGGCTCACCTACAGTTACATTCGAGGGAAATACTTGCATATAATCTGAAAGAGGTGAATTACGCCTGAACAGACATATAGTGCAATTTCAAGTTTTTGTTTACATTTTGTTTTGATCACAACGTGTACATTTGGCTCAGTCCTTAAGGGGTTAAACCTCTCATAGTAGTATGGGGTCTTACTGACCCCATAGGCTTTATTTATTTTTAACTTTTTCATGTGATGGCTGGCTAGCAAGTGCAGGTCAGTGACCACCTGGTTAATCTTCGTGCAGCTGAAGGTTTTTTTGTTTTTTTTACTATTTGCTCTAGCAATAGCAGCCAGCTTGCTAACAGTACTCAAAATTATCATTCACGCTTGCAAAAAGCAAGACAACAATAATTTGCATATGTGGATCTAGTGTTTGGAAGAGACAGTATGTGGCACAGAGAGAGAGAGTGTGAGTGAGTGTATGTGTGTGAGACAGAGAGACTAAGAAAGCAAGGGAGTGTGAGCGCATAGTATAGCAACAGAGAAAGTCAACGTGAAAGATATCATGAGAGAGACAAGCAAGCAAGAAAGCAAGCAAGACAGAATTGATGTGTGGCAGAGAGAACATGAGAGGAAGGGTGAGAGAAAGTCAACGTTAGTGGGTCTGTGTGACAGACAGAGAAAGTGTAAGTGCATATGTCCATGCAAAAGCGAGCAAGTGGAGGATAGTGAAACTAGGAGAGAGCAAGAGACAAAGAGTGGATAAGCGTGTGGGAGAAAAAGCGAGAAAGAAAGACCTTCAGAGAGTCAGTGTATGTAAGGGAAAAAGCAAGAGTATTAGAGTGGAACTGTGTGTGAGTGTGCACAGATGGGGGAGAGCAATGACGTGTGAGTGACAGAATGAGAGGCAGTGTGAGTGAGAGGACAGTGAGGAAGCGTGAGACAGAGTGATAGAGGCAGAGCGTGTGAGTGCAAGACTGAATAAAACCGTGATTGATTATAGCGTGAATAAAACGACTACAACAGCTCTCACTGATATGAGTTTCCAGTTTTGCTCTGTACCACGTGACCTCAGTAATCACACGGTTCCTGCAACATCACAGATCCTTTGGGTGGATACGAAATATTGCCACTTCCTTAACCATTCACCTAGCCCCACGCTGCCCACACAATTAGGAGTTCCAGCCATGTTTAATATTGGCAAACGCTTACTAATAGGGCAGGTTCATGTCCGCCATGTTATATCCAGAACGAGGCTGTTGTGAACTTCCTGTTTCCTAGTACGATGCGCATCCAGTATCTTGTAATTTATATTAAATGTAAATAATATTTTTAGCAAACTTAAGTAAGTTATTTAACACGCCACACTTAGAGAAGTGTGAAAGCAGGCTCGATGACAATATAAGTAAAAACGTTTCGACACTTATGTCCGTCAGCAGTAATTGTCATTCCACTTGTCAGCATCCACAGGTATCTTGTGTCATATTAAAAGCACTTAAGGTCCAGGCGGTTTATAGATATTTTGTTTAATCGTTTTTTGGTTCTTGATTTCATGACATCAATGTAAATCAATGTATTAGCTGAATAAATTAAGTTGTCATCTGTTGTATTTACTTTACAGATTTATGGACAAGGGTCTAATGTTTGCTTCAAATAAATTTTGTCTAATTAAATAACCCCTTAAGGACAAATTATATGTTATGATGTTGCAAATTGTCTCCTAAATAGAATACCCTGTGCTATTACAATTTGACATGATTAAATATTTGCAACTCCTCACAAACCTTCCACAGTTAAAGGGTTACTCCAACCTTCATGACGACTTCTGCTTTTAGAAGTGGCCATGGAGCATGGAATCTGTTCCCGCAGCGTTTCAGCTTGAAACGCTGCACATACAGATATGTCTGTAATTTGGTGCCTAGGGTTAGTTGTACCCACAGCATACATGACATGCTGAATGTCTTTCTTGCAAAGTTTATAGAACCAAAACAGAGAGCGCCTGAGTGACAACCCCTAAGCATGCCTTCCAACAGTCCTGCCTTCAGTCGGATAGTCCCGAACTCAGGGTCCTGTGCCCTTGTCCTGCTTCAGTGCCCTGGAGTCCCACAGCTGGGGTCACCAGGGAACTGTGTCCAGGCTGCACAGTGCGAGTGCATCATTAGAACATTAGATGCCCTTGCACTGTGTAGCGGGCACTAGGAGTGTTTTGGCGGCGCTCCCTTCATGTTCCTGATAGCTTGCAGCCAGCCAGCCAGTTTGTGTGTCAATGGAGAGTCCTACCCTAATTGCGTAGTTCGTGACATGTGTCACATCACTGGCAATGCCTCCCTCATGGCCCTGCTCATTCTTCCCAATTAGAATCAATGAAATGTTGTGAGATATGCACTAGAGGTGTGTTAGAGACAAATGTTTACACAATTTTTTCTCATAAAAGACAGTGTTTACTATTGTCAGACTGAAGGGACACACTCTTTCCACTAGGATCACTTCATTAAGCTGTAGTGGTTCTGGTGCTTAGAGTTTCCCTTTAAATGAGTGCAGCATTTCAATATGCGGTAGGATCTTTAACGGTTGGTTAATAATGATGGGATTTTTCCTTTATTGGTCCTGAAAGAGTTAAAGGGATATTCTAAGCACTTTGACCCAGTGCCAGACCATTAGGGTATGCAGCATTTTGCCACTTATAATGAGTGAATTGTTGGCACAAGGCACTTTGCCCTTATTGCTCTCTTTTCTTGGTAGGAGCTGTAAACATTGACAGGACTCTATCTATCTCCCTTGGTAAGCATCTGCAGCAAGTGATCTGTTCTTGCCTGCTGTAGCAGATATAGAACCACTTCTTGCTTAACCCCTTAAGGACACATGAGATGTGTGACATGTCATGATTCCCTTTTATTCCAGAAGTTTGGTCCTTAAGGGGTTAAAGACCATGCAGTTCACCACTGAGAGGGGCTGGATATGATTTGACATTATATTCTCTCTATCTCTCAGACTGTACTGCACCAGACTATAAGCTGAACTGGATACACCATAAAATTTTTCAAGCGTATACATCATGGTTACTCGGTCACCAAGTCATAACCTAAGGAGTATTCTAGATGTAAATTCCACCACTAATAAAGGGAATAATTCACATGAAATGAGCAGGAGATAACTGTGTCAACAAAATTATGTAAATTGGTCATATTGTCTGAAAAAAGACACCTAAAATGTGGCTGTTAGGAACAGAAACCTGTTTATCAAAAAGTTTGTTCCTGAACATGTTTTGTTTCTCAGTACAGGACATTGAACCGAATCAGTGTTGCTGCTCTTGATTTAGGACAAGAACAAGAATTTTAGGAAGAAAAGAACGCCTCCAAAAGGAGGATGTCTAAAGTTTTGAAAAAGAGAAATGATAGAAGGCGCACTAAGAAAAAAGAATTGCTTTGCTCTCCACAAATTCAAGATGAAGTGGGTAAGATTAGAGAATATCATTTTTTTTGTTCTGTGGTTTGCATCGAAGTCGAATGGCATCTACCAGGCAGGCCATAAACATGGTGACTTCTGCTGCTCAGAAAGAATGCTCAATGTCAAATGATGCTCACATGATGTATTAATGCTGTCCTAGCCTATAAACAAGAGGTATGATAAGAGAAAAATCTATTTATCTGGGAGGACATATCTCTTGCTGTTTCAGCACAGCATGTGTTTTGGCCCTTTTATCCCACCGATCTAAGAGAGGAGGTTGAATTTATTCAAATTTTTTAGATACTTCTGCAGACTTTTGATGAAGTGCATTCCATACAGAAAACCTAAGCTCTGGCAATTCATACATTTAAAGGGATACTCTAAGCACCAAAATAGTTTTGATGAGGTGGTTTTGGTGTATAGCTGCAGCCTCACTGCTCAATTATCTGCCATTTTAGACATCTCCCTCCCCCCACTCCTTCAATAGACATCACATCTTCGCATTAGGCAGTTTCTTTTTCTGTTTATCTTCCCATCTTTGCCTCTTTGCATTTCACATCCCCCTCCAGATTATACAACTCCCCTGACAAATTAAATACCCGATCCTTACTACATTACACACCTTCTTCCTACCACATTACACACCCTGAACCACATTACATTCCAAGGTATCCAAATTACAAGCCTGCCGTCCACATTACACACTTGCCATCCACATTACACTCCCCCTTCACAATTAGGAAAACATACTGATGGTAGACCACTTCCGTGGAGATAGGGTATATGGGCTGCAGTGCGGGCTAGATTTGCAGTGCTTCCAGAGGCAAATCAAGGTCATGAGGTTTTATTTGTGCCTCCCAATCACCTCCTCCACAAAAAGTTTAGATTTCCATGCTATGCAAAGCCCATCTGGTCGCTTCTGACCTATACATTTACTGAGAGATGGTACCTGGGATGAGGATACACAATGACACATAAACACAGTCCCTGGCACACAGACATTGACCCATACATGCATACATTACCCTAGTAACTGTGTGTAAAGAGCCTCAATCTGGTTCTTATTACTCAGGTCAATGACCAGACCTGGGAGCAGAAAGAACTCTTCACTTGTTGATAGTATGAGTAGCCAGGGGCATGCAAAAAGCGATGGGTAGGTGGGTGTAAAACAGAGATAGATGGAAGCCACTTTGGACTGCATCTATCACTGTATGAATATGTATTATGAGCTGCATCACAAATAGCCTTAACTATCGTAGTTATGCCGGATGGTACCCCATCTGACCAGGTGACATCTGATGCCCCTGGCTCCCCTTTCATAACACTTCTGATTGCTCTCTCCCCCTTTGTCTCTCTTTATGAATCTGAGTGTGACCAGGCTATACTGACATCGTATTCCGACTGAGCCCTGATTCGTAAGATAGTAAGCACAGTATCTTTGTGAAAAGAACACACAGGGACAGAACTTTATTAACAATATTGTGGGTGGTCAAGGAGATCTAACGATCTCCCTAGGCTCCTCACAGCATCACCCAGTGCCCCAGGTAAATGTCTTATTTACACTAGAAAATGGTAATGTTGGCCCTGGAGGCATGATCTGTACACCAAAACTGCTTCAACAAGCTAAAGTTGTTTTACTGCATATAGTGTCTCTTTAAACTGAATTTATCGTAGGCTTATGACAAGGTACACTGCAGGGCAGAGAAAAATGTTACCCTTATACACTGTCAGTCAAATTGCTAGGTTACAAATAGAGAAAATGATGGACAATGCCTTACAAAATGGGTCAACTCTAGTCCATGTAAATTTCAAGCAAAAACAGAAACACTGCAGATTAGTAAGGAGTGGCAGAAAACCTAGACTTATGAAGCAAAATTTGCACATAGTACCTAACGTGTGTGCCTATTTAGAAATGGGTCTTTCTTCCCAGAAGTACTAATTGGAACACGTGATTATGAATCTTAGACTATCACTGCCATCCAAATATGATGAAATTGTTATTGTGGAAGTGTAAATACTGCATTAGTAATGTGGCTAATAAGGGGCCAAGCCAGGGGGATTCCAGCGTTTTAGAAAACTGCTAGAAAACAATTTGGCACAGAACCTTGGGATTCCACCCACAGTCTACTGGAAAAGTATCCACTACAACAGACTGTAGTGGTTGTGATACTTAAGTCTCCCCTTCAATGTTAAAACCAGGTTACATTAAAAACATCCATGGTTCCCTTAGTGTGAGACGTTCTATCTACAGCAAAGGGTGTGGAATTACTTGGGTAATAGGAAAGATTACCCAAGTAATTCCATGGCTACAGGGTAACTCTTCTCTCTCTTTGCCTTTGCATAAATAATCTTAGTCTTTGTGCATGCTAAACACATTTAAAGTGTTTTCTTTCTGTGCATATTCATTATCAGAAGTTCAGTCCAGCATTGGAGACCTTGTATTGGCAGCTGAGTTGATGGAAAAAGTGAGTGAAGAAACACGCCGGGGTCTTGGAGAGATTAGTAAATGTATAACACATGACCATGGAGATTACTGTGTGCCAGATGACCCTACAGTTTTGAAACAAATGGTGAAGGAGTTAAAGAAAACCTCTTACCATCAGAACCAGCTCCTCCTTTCACTGCATGAATCATTGGACAATAAAGAGAAGCAATGTCAAGAACTACAGGTAATTGAAAACCTGTTTCTTATAAGTATTTTTTGGCCTTTGCTATATTTTCTTTCAATGTGCAAGAAATAGGACAGTTATGGAAAGTGATTTGTTTAGAATAGGCCAAATCACTTTTTTTTTCATCTTTGAATGTGGTCCTGTCACTTGGAGGTCTGTGTAATTAATTGCAAAGCCATATCTAGGTAACATTTTATAAGTTGTAGCATCTGATTGTGGAATACAAAGGGTAATCTACTCTTCAAGGCAGTTTGATACTCCTCGGGTCACATAAAAAGATGCATTTTCCTATCAGCTTTCAATAGTGACAACTAATGGAGAAAGTAAGAACAAGGCTACTTTTTTGTCAGTCATTACAGATGTTTAAACTGCAATTGGATAAATACTTACAAAAACATAACATACAGGGATATAATTTCTAATTAGTGGGGTAATAGCTGCTTGATCCAAGGAGACATCTGACTGCTATTTTGGGGTCAAGAAGAAATTTTGTCCTAGTTTGTGGCAAAATTGGAAGCACTTCAGACTAGGTTTTTTGCCTTCTTTTGGATCAACAGCGAAAACATATGTGAGGAAGGCTGAACTTGATGGATGCAAGTCTCTTTTCAGCTATGTAACTAGAAATGAATCAGTATCATAGTAGTGCCAAGTCCAATAGAGTACACTAGAAAAGTACCCCTCTTTCTAATGTGCAGAATTTAAACAGCAAAGTAGAGAGTGGGTAAAATTGCAGTTTTGATGATGCAACTATGACAATAAACAATGCAATTGTAGTCTTCCTTTTTTAGCATTATATATTCTTATTATCATTGGTATTTATATAACGACAACATATTCTGTAGCGCTTTCCAATATTATAAGAGGAGAAGATTTAACAATAAATTAGACAATTACAAAATGTTACAGGAACAATAGGTTGATGAGGACCCTGCTCAAACGAGTTTACAGTCTAGAGGAAGTAGGTTATAAACACAATAGGACAGGATATAGCAACCAAAGAAGGTAGTGAGGCAGAGCTGGAGGAGAAAAAAGTGCTGCCCTCTAGGAGAGAGCAAGGGACAGATATGTGAGCTGGAGGTTTCTCTGGGAGGCCATAAGCTTTCCTGAAGAGATGGGTTTTGAGGCATTTTTTAAACGATTGGGGGAGAGTCTGTTGGTGGTAGGCAGGCTATTCCAAAGCAAGTCCTGCAAGCATGAGTTGGCCTTATGGGTGCTAGCAGCAGACAGGAGAAAGTCTGTTTTGGGCAGAGAGACCGGGAAGGGCATACCTGTGAATCAGTGAAGAGATATAACAGGGGCTAGAGTTGTTCAGTGCTTTATAGGTATGGATTAGTACTTTGAAATTGACTCCTATAGGATACAGGAAGCCAATGTAAGGACTGATTGTGGTGTGAGAGTAGAGACTGAAGAGGAATATCAGTCTGGTGGCAGCATTCATTACAGACTGTAGTGTGGCAGTACAGCTTTTGGGAAGACCAATTAGGAGAGAATTACAATAGTCAATGCGAGAGATTACTAGAGCATGAACAAGCTTCTTAGTAGCGTCTTGGGTAAGAAAGGGGTGGGCAATGTTTTTTAGGTGGAATCAACAGGATTTGCTAACAGACTTGATGTGAAGTTTACAGTTGAGGCCAGAATCAAATATAAGACCAGGACAGAGCGCTGGGAAGAATAGGCTGAAGTGGGTACCATCAACTTAAAGGGAGAGAGAAAGAGGAGGATCAGTATTATGAGGAGGAAAGACAAGAAGCTCAGTTTTGGAGAGATTATGTTTCAGAAAAGGAAGAAAGCCAAGCAGTGATTGGTTGCCGGACTGTGGGGGAGAGGGCCGGGAGGAGAGATATATCTGGGTATCAACAGTGTACAGGTAGTAGTGGAATCTAAATGAGGTAATAAGTTTGCCAAGAGAGGCAGTGTAAAGAGAAAATAGAAGGGGGCCAAGAATAGAGCCTTGGGGGACTCCAACCGACACAGGACAAAGAGAGGAGGTATCATTAGAAAAAGAGGCACTGAATGAGCGTTGGGAGAGAGAGCCACAAAAGGACAGTGTCATGGTGACCAAGTGATTGAAGAGTTTGGAGAAGGAGAACATGATCAACCGTGTCAAAGGCAGCAGAGAGGTCAAGAAGAAGTAGTATACAGTAGTGGCCTTTGGATTTAGCTGCAATTAGGCCATTTAATAAGAGCAGTCTCAGTAGAGTGGAGGGGGCAGAAGCCAGACTGAAGAAGAGAGTTGGAATTAAGGAAGCAAGACAGACTGGTAGAGACAAGACTTTCCAGATGCTTTAGAGAAAAGGGAGCAGGGATATGCTATGATAGTTAGAAGGGGAGGACACTCTAAGAGATGGATTTTTTAAGATGTGTTCTACGCTATATAGGTTTAATTTACTTTACAAAGATGTAAATAATTTACATACCTGTTTGTATTAAGGAGACTGTTGCCATTATCCCATTACCTCCCATGGACTTATAGAACCAACCTGGGGAACCAGTAATGGTAAGTCTATTGATTATCAAAAAAACAACCAAAAGAGGAGATATGAGAACTTTGTCAAGTGACAGTGGAAGTTCCTTATGCAGAATATGACCGGCATACAGGCTAAGGAAAATGAATGCACCCTGAATCACATCCAATGCTCCTACATGACATAGGACAGGAAAGATAATTCTCCTCTAGGAGAGTCAGTTTCCATTATATATTTTAACTGTCTTAGCTTCTTGATCCAAGGAGATATCTGACTGCCATTCGGAGGTCAAAAAGGACATTTTTCATAGTTTGTTGCAAAATTGGAAGTGCTTCAAACTGGGTGTTTATGCCTTCTTTTGGATCAACCGCAAAAAGAAATGTGAGAAAGAATGAACTTGATGGACACATGTATCTTTTATTTATTTATTACTGGCATTTATAAAGCACCAACATATTCAGAAGCGCTGTACAATTAGGGTAGAACATACAACATGCATAGACCAAAAGAAAAGGTAAAGAAGGCCCTGACCGTGAGCTAAGATCTAGCCAATGAAGCTCTTTTATGCAAAATGCTTAAACCCTTAAGGACCAAACTTCTGGAATAATAGGGAATCATGACATGTCACGTGTCCTTAAGGGGTTACAGCCCTTGAGTTTACAATCTAAATGATATAACTGGGAATTTGAGACGAGGAAGCTATAGAACTATCTGTTAGAAACTAGTGTTATTTTGTTGTGTATGCTGTCCAGAAATAAATTATGCATCTTTAACCCCTTAACGCCGTTGCAGCGTTCTATCCCGTCCCCATTATAATGGGCTTTAAAGCCGTTGCGGCGGCATAGAACGCCATAACGGCTTAAGCCCCCAGGAGGTCCGCGGTACTTAACTCTGCTGCAATCCTCTTCGGGAGGACTGCCTGACAGCCCAGGCAGCCATCCACCGGCAAATCAGGCCACCGGGGACCATGCGATCGCTCTCAAAGAGCAATCACATGGCCGCAATAGCTGGCTGTGGATCTGCCAGCAGGGGGACTGTCTGGGTTGTCAGACAGTCTCCTTGCTGGTGGGTAGTGTAAAAAAAAAATATTAAACATGTTTAAAATAATTTGTGTGTGTGTGTATATATATATATATATATATAACGTCATATGTAGTGCATTTTAATATTAATATAAGTACATATATTAGTATTAAAATACACTTAGAATTAAGTTTTATATATATATATATATATATATATGTCCAGACTCTGGCACTCAACCCAAAACGAATAAATCAAAACAATATTACCCGGGTGCCTCCAGGCCAATACATAAACAAAGTAAGACAGGAGCACTCACTTGGATTTTCCAGTAATGTATTATAAAGTGTTCATCAATCTTAGATCAATGTTTTGAACCTTCAGGGGTCTTTATCAAGATAATCCAGTGTTTGTGACTAAGTGGCTACTAAAAAAGACTGGACATACCCCACTTGCAATACCTTGGGTTGTTTACTTTTGCAAATGGTATGCCATCATGGGGGTAATTCTTATTCCTGGGCTACCACCGGATCTCAAAGGTAACATTACTAATCTGGCAAATTTTAATGTGAAAAAAAATGAAAAATGGAATGTGCTATATTTGACAGTGTACCTTTCCAAAACACCGTAAAATCTGTTAATGGGGGACACTGTTGTACTCGTTAGACTTTGCTGAATACAAATATGTGCATTTTATTGCAGTAAAAGTTTAACAGTATTCACATTCACAGCTAAAATGTCAGGAGGAACTACAATTTTTTTTTTAAAAAATCTTAATTTCTCAGTTTTTTTTAAATATTTTATTCATAATAAATTATGTTTCATATACAAATAGTTCATGAGAAATTAAATACCTGTTTCTCCTGAACAAAATGATATATAATAAGTGTGGGTGCACTTAATATGAAAGAGGTGAATTACAGTTGAACAGACCTATAACGCAAATTCCAGTTTTTGTTTACATTTTGTTTTGATCAGAACGTGTACTATTGACTCGGTCCTGAAGGGGTTTAACCCCTTCCCGCCATTACGGCGTTTTATGCCGTCCCACAATAAGTGGGCTTGAAAGCCGTTGCGGCGGCATAGAACGCCGTAACGGCTTTGAGCCCTGGGATACTTACCTACCCTGCGCTCTGCTTCGGGAGGACTGCCTCACAGCCCAGGCAGCCCTCCCACGGCAAATGAGGCCCCCTATAGCTGGCTGTGGATCTGCCAGCAGGGGGACTGTCTGAAATGTAAGACAGGCACCCTGCTGGTGGAAAGTGTAAAAAAAAAAGAATTAAACATGTTATAAAATAAATATATATACACATATTATATATATGTAACGTCATACGTAATGTATTTTAATATTAATATAAGTATATCTATATATATAAGTATTAAAATACACTTAGAATGACGTTACATATATATAATATATTTATATATATATATAATAGATATATACACATATATTATATATATATATATATATATACGTATAATTACAATAATAAATAAAATAAAATTAATAAATAAAATATTGAAACAAATGTAATATCATTCTAACTGTATTTTGTTATTAATATATATATATATAGAGGTAACAAAATACACTTAGAATGACATTCTATATCTATCTATCTATATATATCTATATATATATATATATATATATATATATATAGATATATATAGATAGATAGATAAATACATATAATTACATAAAAGATTACATTAGTATACACGTAGAATTTAAATACCTATAAATGCATATATATTAAAATTCTACGTGTATATTTAAGTAAACTTTTAACATAATTATGTGATTTGATTAATTAAAATTTGATTGACATGCCTGACAACACAGGGAGAAAGTGCAGAGAATTTAATTCACAAGCACTATATTTGACCCTGTAACTCTCCAAGACACCAAAAAACCTGTACATAGGTGGCACTGTTTTACTCGGGAGACTTCGCTGAACTCAAATATTAGTGTTTCAAACTGGTAAATTGTATTACAACAATGATATTTTAAGTAAAAGTTAAGTTTTTTGCATTTTTTACAAACGAACTGCACTTTTATGGACTATATTATTGTTGTAATATGTTTTACTGTTTTAAAACACTAATATTTGTGTTTAGTGAAGTCTCCCGAGAATAACAGTACCCCCCCATGTACAGGTTTTATGGTGTTTTGGAAAGTTAGAGAGTCACAGGCTTGCATTTCGTTTTTTTTACATTGAAATTTGCCAGATTGGTTATATTGCCTTTGAGAGCGTATGGTAACCCAGGAATGAGAATAACCCCCATGATGGCATACCATTTGCAAAAGTAGACAACCCAAGGTATTGCAAGTGGGGTATGTCCAGTCTTTCTTAGTAGCCACTTAGTCACAAACACTGGCCAAATATTAGTTTTTGCTTTTTTCACACAAAAACAAATATGAACGCTAACTTTGGCCAGTGTTTGTGACTAAGTGGCTACTAAAAAAGACTAAACATATCCCACTTTCAATACCTTGGGTCGTCTACTTTTTCAAATGGTATGCCATTATGGGGGTAATTCTCATTCCTGGGCTACCACACTGTCTCAAAAGTAACATTACTAATCTGGCAAATTTCAATTTGAAAATGGAACTTTCTATATTTGACCCTTTAACTGTTGTACTCATGAGACATCGCTGATTACAAATATGTGCATTTGCAGTAAAACCTAACAGTATCATGACATTCACAGCTAAAATGTCAGACGGAAATACAAATTAAAAAAAAAAACTTATTTTCTCACATCTTTTTAAATTTTATTCATAATAAATTATGTTCCATATATGAATAGTTAATGATAAATTAAAGCCCTGTTTCTCCTGAACAAAATGATATATAATAAGTGTGGGTGCACTTAATGTGACAGCGGTGAATTACGGTTGAACAGCCATATAGCGCAAATTCCAGATTTTGTTAAGTTTTGTTTTGATCAGAACGTGCACTATTGACTCTATCATGAAGGGGTTAAATAGGATAGTATAAAACCTTGTTGGGAGAGTTTCCAGCCTCTTAATATTTGTGATTGGTTTAGTCTTGAAAATGTGAAACTAATGCCTTAGTACAATTCTATTAACCTTACTTTTGTGTTTCCAAAATAAAGGAGAAGCTGGAGAATGATCGGTGGATGTTGATAGCTGATATGGGCCAACAAATTTCTCAACTGGAATCAGAAATTAGGAATTTACACTGTGAAAAGGAAATATTGGAAAAGAAAAATAGAGATCTACAAGAACAATTGGCCAAAAGTTCTGGGACAGTTCTTTATTTAGGTCAACAAGTAAAGGATCAGGAAAGCCAAAGTGAAGAAATCCGTTTCTGCATGAACAGCATAAAAAATGAAAACAAGTGGGTCCGTTTCTATACAGGTTTTGATGGTTATGAGCATCTCAATGATTTTCTTGGCTTTCTCACTGCTGACCCAAAACTTTGCACTGGCAAAATTCGGAAACGGACAGAGGTAGGACCTCAAAGTGCCCTGAACTTAGAGGATCAACTACTTTTGGTTCTTACTCGATTACGCCTTGGCTTATTGCTTCAAGATCTAGCCTTTCGATTTAGAGTGTCTGAGTCCACAGTTTCTCGGTACTGGTTAAACTGGACAGAGCTTTTACATGCGCGACTTACACAGGTAAGATCAATTGTAAATAATGATTAGGTCATCTGAGATTACACTTTTTTTTTATTATTATTAATTTTTATTGCAGCATTTTTAAGGAAAATTTACAAAAGGGCAAACCAAATGTACAAATGAGAATTCATATAAAACCAAAAATAAAGGGTACCTACAGTGAAGGTAATTAACAGTAAGATAATACACTGGGATCATTTGGTCTCATGAAGGCAAGAAGAATGGTAGAAAGTGGTGAAAGAAGAAAAAGGTAAATAATAAAAGATTCAATAGTTTTACATCTATGAGCACACACTTTGAAATAGAAAGTCCAAGTTTGTCTCAATCCATGAGTCCCAAATATTATAAAAATAGGGTGAGGTGCCAATGAAAGAGGTCAACAGAGTCACCTTTTCATTGTTGAAAAGTTAGATTTTTTTAAAAATTTTTCTTTTACTAGGCCAATTGTAAAAGCAGAATCTGTGCCCTTCCAACTTTTCACAAATGTGAGTCTTGTCTCACTGGAGACTTTAATGTGGAGGGCGCCTCCCAGCTCCACTACTTCAGCAGGCTGTAGTGGGCATGGTGCCAGGATATAAAATATATGATAAACAATTATTTACACCAGAACCAATCTATAGGCGGAGCGCTCCAAGTGAGTTAACTCACCCCACTCTTGGTCTGTGTAAAATGACCTATACGTGGGGACAGAATGGACAGTAATATGGTGTAGTATATCACAAATGATAATGAAAAAAATGATGAAGAATATAGAACCACTCACATGGTTCTGAGCCCTAACTGGACAGGCTCAGATCTCTCAAGCAGGCGTGTTTAGGGTCACACAGAACCTTTACAGTAGACAAGGCTCTTGTTGTACCTTTAACGGATGGAAACCAAATATAGTGCAGTATCGGTATATATAGGTGTAGATGCCAAGAAAATGCTAAAAATTGCTCATCTGATTCAGAGCCTAAATCCTGGCTCTGAGTATATACCGTATATACTCGAGTATAAGCCGACCCGAATATAAGCCGAGGCCCCTAATTTTACCCCAAAAAACTGGGAAAACTTATTGACTCGAGTATAAGACTAGGGTGGGAAATGCAGCAGCTACTGGTAAATTTCTAAATAAAATTAGATCCTAAAAAAATTATATTAATTGAATATTTATTTACAGTGTGTGTATATGATGAATGCAGTGTGTGTGTATGAGTGCGCAGTGTGTGTGTATGAATGCAGTGTGTGTGTATGAATGCAGTGTGTGTGTATGAATGCAGTGTATGTGTGTATGAGTGCAGTGTATGTGTGTATGAGTGCAGTGTGTGTATGAATGCAGTGTGTGTGATGCAGTGTGTGTGTGTGTGATGCAGTGTGTGTGTATGAGTGCAGTGTGTGTGATGCAGTGTGTGTTTGTGTTGCAGAGCCTTGGTGGGAGGTGGGCATTTTTATAAAAAAAAAAAATATTATTATTTACATTTTTTTTGTTATATTATTATTTTTTTAATAATTTTTTTATTATTATTTTTATTTTTTTTATTATTATTTATGTATTATTTTATTTTTTTAGTTCATTTTTTAGTTATATTATTTTGTTTATTATTATTTTTTTATTATTATTTATGTATTATTAATTTATTTATTTTGTTGTCCCCCCTCCCTGCTTGATACATGGCAGGGAGGGGGGCTCTCCTTCCCTGGGGGTCCAGTGACATTGGCAGTTCAGTGGGGGGAGGAGGGGACTGGCAGAGAGCTGTTACTTACCTCTCCTGCAGCTCCTGTCAGCTCTCTCCTCCTCCGCGCCGGTCCGTGCAGCTCTTCTGTCAGCTCCCACTGTAAGTCTCGCGAGAGCCACACTATGACCCCGCGGCTCTCGCGAGACTTACACTGGGAGCTGACCGAGGTGCTGACCGGACCGGCGCGGAGGAGGAGGGAGCTGACAGGAGCTGCAGGAGAGGTAAGTAACAGCTCTGCCAGCCCCCAGTCTGCATTATGGCAATGGAAATTGCCATAATACAGACTGACTCGAGTATAAGCCGAGTTGGGGTTTTTCAGCACAAAAAGTGTGCTGAAAAACTCTGCTTATACTCGAGTATATACGGTAAGTGTGTGTGTCAAAAAGGGGACACAAACCCTTCTAGATGAATAGCAGGAACACAGGATGCTGGTATCAACAGTGGATTATAAAATAAACAATTTATTATAAAATATAAGGTGTATATATAACAAAATAAAATCTATATAAAAATACAGTAATGAAGTTAACTCACTTGAAGCGCTCTGCCTATAGATTGGTTCTGGTTTTTTAACCATTCCTTTTACCTTCCATACGTTACTTTGTGTTAAGTTGTGAGAGGTTTACACATTGGTGGTAGCAGCACAATTTCCCCACTATAATACTTGTAAGCGCCTGTATACACATCATTTTTTCTTTTGTAATTATTTACATCAACAACCGATAAAAACAAAAAGGATAAAATACAGAAGTCTTAATTACTCACTTAGGTTTTCAAAGTACAACTTTTGTCCAGGGGGTCTCGGGCAAGGAAAAGATGGAGACTCACTTAGAATTAGATTCTGACCCCCAAGCAAGTACACAAGCACCCTTCAGGATCATTAGAGATATACCCGGTGGATTACTACGCCTCACCCAGAGCTGGAGTTAAGGCGTAGCTATAGAGATACTAAGTGACCACCCTCTTGTGTCCAGACCCACATCAATCCAAATGGAAACATTTGGTTCTATCTTCTCTTATGTACCCACCACAAAAATAATAATTGCCTCTATGAATTTATTATTTTCCTATTCTATACATATGTTGCATGCCTGCCTTGCTATCCGATAGGATGGACACCACAATTTCTTCCCCTATGATCAAGTTAGGCCACTCATGTCTGGACTTGTTTAGAAGATGGTGCTTGCCACATTCCAAATATAACAAAGATGAAGCTTAATTATTATTCTGTGGGGTTAATATGAATGTTTTTGTCTTTCCTTTGGATATGATACTGGAACAAGGCTTGAACTATCACTTACAAGGTACATGTCAAATGGATGAAGAGACATTCTAGTGTAGAACCTCACACCTTGCAGAGCCTTGATTACTTCACATCCATTTGGTAAAATCCTTTTCACATTGCTATGCCACTCATACTACCCCTTCTGTCATCTGACCTCTGTGGGGGTCCCAGCTTCAAAAGATGTAACCTCTGTTGACCTTGACAATACCATATCTGCCATTTACTACACAAATTACATTAAAGGACAATATTCCATAGTGTAATAATAAATAATGCACCCTTGCCGTGACAGCAATTTCTTATAAAACTGTTTTACATTGCATAGTTAAAACTACATGGCCTCTGCACCCACACAACTTTATTGAGATTAAATGGTTTGGGTGCCTTTAGTGATCCTTTAAATCTCATATGCCTCCTGCTTGCACAGTCTCTTAATTTATCCTAATCCCTCTTCAGAAAAGTAAAATCCTGTTTACACTATGCTTTTATTTATTTTTTAAATGCACATTGCAAAATGTATTAATTTAAGAGAAGTGGACACAGAACAAAACTCCACTTGAGGACTGGACAGTAAATGAATTGATGGTAAAGGCACCAAACTTCCTGATTATTTCAGTTTGTGCAGTAAAGCTCTGGACTATATCCCACCCGGCCAGATAAAGATGTGCATAACATCCTTCATGAATTCTAAATCTTGTTTAGGGACTTGATGCATTTTGCAAAGAGCAAGAATTTATAAATATATATTTTTAATACCCTACTGTGATGCCCCATATGTCCAGCGACTGTGGAATGACAATTCCTAAAGGCTCCATGATCAATTGTAGATAAGAGAGGATGTCTAGTGTCATTGCTCATCTGGACAACAGATATAGAGTTAAAGGTCCTAAATTCCAGTTAGGAAAGGACAGTGGATTCTTAAATGGGAAAGTGCTTGCAATTAATATTTAACAACCACTTGAAAGGCATTCTTTGTATTGCCTTGTTGTAGTTAATTTTCTCCTAAGAAGGCATGGGGCTGATAATAGATCTGTTGAAAGCCATGGTCTGAATACTGAAATGAGCATGTCCTGAACGAGCCCTCTAAATTCAGTTGAGGGTCCCCTCTTTCACACTTTATATAATTTCAGTTGTCAATCAAATAGCCGGTAGTGTGTTTTTCCTAATTGCTTTGTATCCAAGCATAAATCAGAGGCAATACTTCTTTTCATAGAGAAGCATTGGATTCCATGTAATCTGCCTACCAATGCTTCTCTATAAGAATCATTCTAATGGCCAAGAAATTATCAGTACTGATCTCTAAAGCAGGTGGAGTGTAGCTTCAGAGTGGTACTGTCTGCCTGCTGAATTATAGGTAAGTTAACCCTTTATATGTACACACACACAGGTATATGGGGGAGGCTCAAATGCTTAAGTGCACCTTTAATACCACTTCTCAAAATATGGTGGTATTTACATCATTCATGCTTTATGGGTAACATACTAATAAACTACTTGGCTCCTTCCGGTGTACAACACCCATAATGCACCATTGACCCTGCTGGTGATTAGTGATGCACCGAACGGTTCGCTGGCGAATAGTTCCCGGCGAACATAGCATGTTCGCGTTCGCCACGGCGGGCAAACATATGCGCGGTTCGATCCGCCCCCTATTCGTCATCATTGAGTAAACGTTGACCCTGTACCTCACAGTCAGCAGACACATTCCAGCCAATTAACAGCACACCCTCCCTAGCAGACCCTCCCACCTACTGGAAGGCATCCATTTTACATTCATTCTCAAGCTGCATGCTTAGTGAGAGGAGGGAAAGTGTAGCTGCTGCTGATTAGATAGGGAAATGCATAACTAGGTTAGGGTATACAGTGTCCACTACAGTCCTGAAGGACTCATCTGATCTCTGCTGTAAGGACAGCACCCCAAAATGCCCTTTTTAGGGCTAGAACATCAGTCTGCTTTTTTTTTTTTTTCTGTGTAATGTAATTGCAGTTGCCTGCCTGCCTGCCTGCCAGCTTCTGTGTCAGGCTCACAGTGGATACTGTACCCAGTGCCACCGCTCACTCACTGGTGTCACAATAGCTTGCATTTAAAACCCAAAAACTTTTTTCACTGTTATAGATTGAATAGCAGTTAGTTGTCTGCCAGCGTCTGTGTCAGGCTTACATTGGATACTGTGCCCAGTGCCACCACTCACTCACTGGTACCCGGATGAAATTTATTTTCACAAAAGGCAATCCCCAACCTGTACTCGATTGTGCAAAAATAAATAATGGCATGTCTGGCACACAGTGTTGGGGCAAGGGTCCATCTGACCACTGATACCTGGTCTGCAAAGCAGGTATATCACCTACACTGCGCATTGGGCAAACCTGCTGACGGCTGCCAAGCATGGAATGCGTGGCTCTGCAGAGGAGTTGGTGACACCGCCACGACTTGCAGGCAGGCCTGCTGCCACCTCCTCTACAACTCCTACTCCATCCTCTTCCATAACCTCCTCGGCTGAGTCCTCTTCTGCTGCTGCGTCTTGCTCCACATCAATGGATAGGGGACGTAACAGGGATTAAACTGATAAGAATAGTACTACTTAACACACCACTCCTATCTGGTGGCACATTAGATTGCACGCGCAGTGCCCCAAATTTGTTGTGATCTGTGAGTAAGGTAAATGGTTGTCCATACAAGTAAGGTTGCAGCTTTTTGAGGGCCCACACCACCGCCAGGCACTCCTTTTCAATGGCAGTGTATCTACTTCCCTGGACAATAGTTTCCGGCTTAGATAAGCCCCGGGTTGCTCGCCGCCATCTGCTCTGACTTGGCTCAGTAATGCTCCCAATCCAAACATAGAAGCGTCTGTATGGACGAGAAAGCGTTTAGTTGGATCAGGAGCAGAAAGTACAGGTGATTTAATGAGCGCCGTCTTGAGCTGTTGGAAGGCCTGTTCACACTCTGGGGCCCATACTACTATCTTGGGGAGGTTTTTACGCGTTCCTATATGGCACTTACTGGGCTTTAGGGTCAGTCCGGCCTCCCTAATCCGGTCTAGTACGGCTCCTATGTGGGTCAGGTGTTCGGGCCAGGAGCAGCTAAAAATGGCTATATCATCCAAGTAGGCGCAGGCATACTCCTGAAACCCATCCAGTAGCCGATCTACCATCCTCTGAAAGTTAGCCGGGGCATTCTTCATCCCGAATGGCATGACCTTAAACTGATACAGGCCAAACGAGGTGACAAATGCCGACTTGTGGATGGCGTCCTCGGCTAATGGAATTTGCCAGTACCCCTTGCACAGATCTATTGTGGTGAGGTACTGGCTTCTGGCCATTTTGTCTAGGAGCTCGTCTATACAGGTTGTTTTATCGTTTAGCCTCCGGTAGTCTACACAGACTACAGACTCCCGTTTCGGTACTAGTACTACAGGGGAGGCCCAGGGGCTGTCAGAGTGTTCTATCACCCCTAACTGCATAATTTCCTAAATTTCTTTCCGCATATTTTCTTTAACAGCTTCGGGTATGCGATAGGCGGTTTGGCGAAGGGGGGTCTGGTCTAGGGTTTCAGCTTTGTGAGTGGTTAACGGACTGTACCCAGGTAGGTTGGAAAACGTGGCCCCCTTGTCCTGGATTTGCTCCTGGGGGTCTAACCGTTCTCCTAACTGTACTTCTCCCAGGTCTCTGCTCTGGTCCTCTAGGTCTAGGAGATCTGGGAGTGGCAAATTATCATAATCTTCAGTTGCAGGTGCACAGATCGCGGTTACCTCTTCGGTGCGCTCGTGGTATGGCTTGAGCATGTTCACATGGAGCATGCGCTTGCATCCCGTGCCTGTGACCGCACCGATCACAAAGGTGGTATCACAAACCTGCTCTACAACCTTGTATGGGCCCTGCCAGGAAGCCTGCAGCTTGTCCTTGTGGACAGTGTCAATCCATATCTGCCAAGTGACCCTATGTAGGGGGAACAGTCTCTATTCTGCTCTGTGTCAGTGTGTATCATGGTCTCTGAGGACAGGTGTCAATCCATATCTGCCAAGTGACCCTATGTAGGGGGAACAGTCTCTATTCTGCTCTGTGTCAGTGTGTATCATGGTCTCTGAGGACAGGTGTCAATCCATATCTGCCAAGTGACCCTATGTAGGGGGAACAGTCCCTATTCTGCTCTGTGTCAGTGTGTATCAGGGATCCTGAGGACAGGTGTCAATCCATATCTGCCAAGTGACCCTATGTAGGGGGAACAGTCTCTATTCTGCTCTGTGTCAGTGTGTATCATGGATCTCTGAGGACAGGTGTCAATCCATATCTGCCAAGTGACCCTATGTAGGGGAACAGTCTCTATTCTGCTCTGTGTCAGTGTGTATCATGGTCTCTGAGGACAGGTGTCAATCCATATCTGCCAAGTGACCCTATGTAGGGGGAACAGTCTCTATTCTGCTCTGTGTCAGTGTGTATCAGGGGCTCTGAGGACAGGTGTCAATCCATATGTCAAGGTGTCAATATGTCAGGTGTCAATCCATATCCATTGTGATTTAGGAATGTTAGGTGATTTCTGCCCTTTATGGATTAAAACCAGACTCTGCATCAACTGTGTACTTTTCCATGGGAGTTTTGCCATGGATCCCCCTCCGGCATGCCACAGTCCAGGTGTTAGTCCCCTTGAAACAACTTTTCCATCACTATTGTGGCCAGAAAGAGTCCCTGTGTGTTTTAAAATTCGCCTGCCCATTGAAGTCACATTTGCGGAAGTTCGCGTTCATCACTACTGGTGATACTTCCCCAGACAGGTCAACCTTGCATAAGAACATGCACTTCCTTGCCAGTGCATCAGCATACAGTGACATTTGTCACCCTGTTTATAGATTACTCTAGCAAATGTGAGATATGCTCACCACAGCAATATCACACCATGTTTTCAGTACTTGCAGTGACACCCCCTCTTGGAGGAATTCTGTGCCACAAATTGATAGGTAAGCAACCATTTTTTTTTTCTCCAGGTTTAGTTCTATATAATACATTTCTAGCCGTTCTACTAGGATCATATATAGATTAATTTGCATGTACTTTTATTTAAACTTGTGTTTACCATGAGTGGTTCACTCATTAAATAATATCTACAAAGGATTATGTACTTGGCTGTAGTGATGCCAAGCTATCTAGTCATTATTTGAAGCTTCATGTAAACTCAGAAAATGTGCCAGTCTTATAAATTCACTAATCACCTAGTAATAGCAGTGTTTTTCATTTTCCAGATTCCAATTCTGTACAGCTCTAGATACCTTGACCCTTTTGAACCAAAAAGAAATATACAACATCAAGGCCTGAACTGTACAATTCTGGACTGCACAGATCTTTTTTTTGAAGTCCAAGCAAAGGATCGTGTTAAAGCAGCTTCTACACACCCATGCAGAAACCATTATTTACGACGTGGATATGCCATAGCCTCTGCCAATGGTTTCATTACTTTTTCATCTAGCTTACCTTTCGGAATAGCCACAAAGGTAATGGACGGCCAACCACAAGAAGAACTAGATGGTGGAATAAATCCACCCTTGAAACTGCCACCATTCATGCAAAATGTTCCAATTGGCCTGACACAGGAGCAGCAGGATATGAGCAGGCAGGTCCTTAGTCTTCTAAGTCTTATTGACAAAGTTCTAAATTTCCGCTTTCTAAAGGGAATATACCCCCAGAGTATGGAAATGCAGGTTGATAGAGCTTGGGTAATTTGCTGCTACTTGGCTTGCCTTTTGCATGATCCAATGGGATTATTGTAAAGTACTCAGCCGTTGCATCGTAAAAAGTTTAAGGTTTCGGTGTTTGTTTTTTTTATGTATTTGTAAATATTACCAGTGAAGTTTATTTTAGTCTTCACCATTTAACATTGTGCATGTTACCAGTAAAAGAACCCGCCGGGTTAAAATTAAACAACTTTTTATTTAAAATTCATATGCACGGAAGAAAAGTTTAATAAAAAATGCAGACAATAGTTCTGAACACTATTTGATGTTTTTCTCTGAACTAGTGACATTCCTGCATCTAGCCAGAGACATTTTGAAAGAAATTGAACCTGCTTCAGACAATTGGTGTGAAGTGATCGTACATCAGAATCGCAGTCTTTTGCTGCAGCAGAGCCTCTTTAATGGACATTTGTTTCCATTCTGTACAGATTGGAAACAAACACTGGCCATCATTGGACTTTACCTGCTTCTGGAAACTACTGCAGGGCCTGACAACTTTATTTAGAATCTAGAACCAGCTAAAAAAAAAAAAAAGTTAAGTGCCTGTTTTTGGTTTTGTTTTTTTAAATAAAAATTTTAAGCGGAATTTTCAACACGAAAAATGCAGTTCTTAAGGGACAATAGGCACCAGAACCACTTAATGTAGTTCTTGTGTCTATAGCCTGTACTTGCAGACCGTTCAATGTAAACACTGCCTTTTCAGAGAGTCCTTGGTCAGTGCACATTCAGTATGAAAGCACAGAATATTCCATATAGAGATGGGGTCCAGTGGGGCTGCTCTCTAATCCTACGTGCGAGGGAGCAGTAATCTCCCAGCATCCATATACAGCGCGAGAGCAGAGTAGAGCTGTAGGTAGCTTTAAGAGCTAACATCCCAAGCACCAGGGCGAAATTTCTAGTCATGACGACCTGGAATTTGTCATGCCCTGAACTACTGCAATAGAAAGCCAGTTTGTTCATTATAGCAGATGAATATTTAAATACTCTGCCCAGCGAACAGCATACTGAAACAAAATTTCCTTTGAAAATTATTTGTTTATGAAGAAAATTAAATTTTCAAAGGAAATTTATTCCAGTGTTATAGAAACTGATTCAAACAGCCAATAGATGCAGGAACTGGCCCCATATCTACAAAGAGTAGTAATATTGAAAGGGAAGATGTCCACGAGTACTACCCTTATGCCAATCAAGATACCACAATGTCACCTAAAGCAATTTGAAGTTTAAGAGGCTGCATTATATCCAAAATATATAAAAATACTACCAGTAATCAGAACTGTGCTTAGAGAAGGATCAGCAATGCTGTCCGCCTTTCCTCTTTCCCTACTCCAAGCAGTTATGCTGCTGGATACTTAATACAATCAATTTATAATTACGCCAAAAAGCTCCCCGATTTCTCTGCTTTCAGAATTATTGCCTCTAACATTTATATGAAATCCAGCCATCTCATATGTGCATATTGTAAACCAGTGCGATTAAACACTAGGATACAATAAACTTTTACAAACATCAATTCTAATAACAGACAATTAAAGTGAACTGTCTGACAGATCCCCTACTCCTGGATTATCATCCTGTTAATTTGTGCTGCCTCCCCTGGGTGGTCTGTATACAAACTAGATGGGTCTCAGGTGTTCAGTGAATCCCATATATACTGAACTGCCCAGAGTAACAAATAAGCAAAAATTAACAGGATGATAAGCCAGGAATAGAAGGATCTGTCAAAACTGCTCATCCAAAGATTGTGGATAAGTCATTTCCCCCACACCTGTATGGCTTCCTGGAATGGACATCAAGAAACGGTAATTAAACAACTCCTAGTGCGTGAAGATGCATTGTTGAGTATTTCAAGAGCAGTGGGGCTGTGTGCAAATCCACTTTTGGCCACCCATTACATAGACATTTTACCTCTATGCTAATGGTTGTAAAGCAATGAAGTAAAAAATCTCAATACTTGTTTAAGTGACACTTACACATAGTAATAAGGTGCATTTTAAATCTTAAAGGGACACTATAGCCACAAGAACAATACAGTTTATTTAATTTGTTCTGGGGAGTATAATCATTACCTCAGGCTTTTTGCAGTTTAAAAAAACAACAAAAAAAGTTCAGAGAAAATGCAGTGTTTACATTACAGTCTAGTCTACTAGAGGTGCTTCCTGGGGCAGTGCTGCACTACAATTCAGTGTCTTCACCCTCTGCATTAAGACACTGAACTTTCCTCAGAGATGCATTGATTCAATGGATCTCTATAAGGAGATGCAGATTGGCCAGAGCTGTGCTGGACTTGTGCTAGCGCTGACCCTGATTGGCCTCCTTGACAGTTTTAGCCAATCCCATGGGAAAGTATTGTATTTGGCTCAAAGAATCACTTTGTGATGTCTGCCAAGCAGGCAGATCATTGGCAGAGCCAGTGGCAGCAGACTTGACTAAAAGTAAGATTTTACTATAGTTAGGTGGCAATGGGGAGGTGGTTTTAACACTATTGGGTCAGGAATAAATGTTTGTGTTCCTGATCCTATAGTGTTCCTTTAAGTGGTGCACACAGTTTTTATGCCCGTTACTTTGCAGGATATTGATGGCAACATGGGGGTTGGTATACAGAAAAGCACTTTCCTTGATATTAGATTGAATTGGTCGTGAAACAGTTCGACAGTTTTTTTTTTTTATTATTGTGTACAAAGCATAGACAACCACTTTAGTTCTTGTATCCTCTGCTGGCTCTGCGTCCTCTGGCACGCTCAAATTTTCTACCCTTGGAGCGAATGTAGGGCCTTTATAAAAAAAAATATATATATTTAATTACAATTGCAAATTATAAATTCTGCATACTTGTGTCGATTTGAATTGAAGTGAAAGTCAGAATGTACTTCCTTATACATGTTACAGTTAAAGTGCAGAAATCAGTTAATGTGCACATTACCTAGTTAATCTACAGATTAACTAGGGCGATCCATTAAAGTGCAGAAAATGATTTAGTTTCTCAAATATTTCTCACATTACCTAGGTAAAATGCAGATTACCTACTAGGCACTCGTTAAAGTGCCAAAAAATCATTCTGTCCTCCATCTCTCTGAGGGGCTCACAGCTCTGGAGGACACCATGGTGTGCACATGCTGCTGTTCTGTTCTTGTCTAGACCACAGTCACATACCCCTTCAAACAGTTATTCCAAGCTAGTAAGAAACGAGGAGCCCCCACCACCACAAGAGAGCGAGCGCTTCCTGCACATTATGCAGCAACACCCTGAAATTATCCCAGCAGATGCTCTCCACTGTTCTCAATATCATCATATATTTGAAGATTGAGACCAAGGAGAGGTCTGCTCATGGACCACTGATTCCGACAATGAAAGAAGTATTTCTCGGACTTACGGAGCAGCATTGTTAGTAGCCAACTCCCCTCCGAGAAGCAACAAGCCATGCGTCTATGCTTTGAGAATTTGATGGTGGAGGGCATTGAAAGGAACTTGCTCACAAAAAGAATCGAGACAGGTTCACACAGTCTTTCTGCCTTCAGAAGAGAAGTGAACAACTCTGCAGAGACTGCACTGAAAGGGTGAAACAGGTTCTGCGAGGATGTTTTTGTAATAAATAATTTCCTCTTTTACAGAGGGAAAGAAACACTAGGTAAAGTGCGGAAAACTCTTGATTCCGCACTTTAACAGAGCAAATCATTTAATCTGCAGATTAACTAGCTAATGTGCACATTAACTGATTTCTCACTTTAAATGTAACATACATTAGGACTTCAGGCCATGCTTATAAATATTGCTCATTGTTATTTAATGCATTCCATTCCCTTTAAAGTTATCGTTCTTCAATACTTTATAGCACCATGTAATGGTTATGGTGCCAAGAGTGTCTTGCCTCCCCTCTCGTAAATAGTGAAACTGTTTTCTAAAGGCTTGAATTCTTACATGGGTACTAAGAGGTTAGGTACTGCACCCACCACCTCTAAGCAACCAGGAGAGCTGACAGCTCCTGCTTAGAAGCTTCTATTACCTCATGAACAAAGCCGAACAAGTGCAGGGCCAGTTCACTGCACGTGCGGCATAGCTCAGACAGAGGTTGTAGTGTAGGTAAGAAGTCAAACAATTCTAAAAAACAGTGACTATATACATTGGGGCAGGGGAATACCAAAGCACTCCTGGTATCACAGACAACTCCTTTAAATGTTTTTTAAAATGGGCCAGTTTTTCCATTTCAAGTGCACTTTAAGAAGAAATGTGATTGTGTACACCACCTCAGCACTACCTGATTTCCCCACACTGCAGCCATATTGACAAATAAAGACAGTCACAGTGTGTCTGACAAGGTGCATCAGGCGGTTTGTATTTCTGAGGGTTTGTGGCATTGCATACCCATGTGGCAGCGAGTATACCTCTGTGTGTGAATGTATCAGTGTCTGGGAGCTGCTTGTGGTGTGTGCATTGTGTTTATGGTGAGGCTGTGCTGTGTATGAGGGGTAAGAGAGTGTGTGTGTGTATGTGTTGCCAAGTTTTAATGTGTCAGAGTTATTTACTAAAATGAATCAAAGTGAATTCCAAATTTAAGGTCAAAGTAGGTGAAGTGAAAGCACAGCGGACTTACAAAGTCTGTCCAGTTAGGGTATTTTGGCTTTAAATTCTCACTTTAATAACGGAGGGGAATGACTATGGGTGAGAATGCTGTCAGTGATCAGCCTCCCCACCCCACAAACTGTACGGGTAGCAACTAATTTCATTTAGAATTGTTGAAATTCTGTAATTTTGGGGTATGACAGCATACACAAAAGGCATAGTGAAAAAAAAAAAGTTAAACAGCAACCGTAAAATATAATTTGACCAGCAAAAAATTTCTATAAAGATCTATAAATCATCCATCTTCATATTCATTATAGGGTAGCCTCAATGTAACTAATAAAATGCAACCTATACCATTAGACTATCCAAAAATAGAGATCACATAGTTTACCTACAAATGTCCTCATGTTTCTTTCCATAATGCACTTGGCTCAATAACATAACTGTGTGCTGCTGCATACTGAATTATGCAA